CCCCCCATCTAGGTTGAATAGAGGTAGACATATTTGCAATTGAAGGAGGTCAGGTTCACCTGGTTTCAGAGGTAAAATTAGCAAGAAAATGGCCGCCAAAGTTGAGTAATTTAGCTTGAGAGTCTTGGAAACTGAAAATTTACATTTTTTGTGTGCCTGTAAGCAATGTTTTTCAGTAAAATCCACTCAAAATGTGTTTTTAAATGGACATTGCGTTTGCCTTTTTTGTTTTTCGCCTCGGGTGTGCAAATGGATGGCAAAGCACGTCTGGCTTCTGTTGAGTGTGCTCACAACCTTTCCCCCATTGCCCTTCATTTGGTTCCAAAGCAGAGTTGAACAGTGAGCTCCATGACGAATGTTTAAACAAACAGCAGAATCTGAAGTGAACCGGAAATATAAATGGTGGGATCTTAGGTGAAAACTACAACAATAGATTCAGATCTAAACCGAGTATAGTTCTATCAAACATGACTCAAACTCTTATCCACCCATCCTACCGCCTCCCCTCATCTGATATGGTTTGGTGTTTCTTTAACATAGAAGATATACATGTACATCTAATTCATCTTTATTGTTGTTGGGTATTGATTTGATATTTTGATGGAGCCTCTCGATCGAAATCTACATTTACTATGATTTAGTTTAGGCAACAGCAGTCTTATAGTAATTAGGAGATGAATGGGCTTAAAAACATAAAACAAGTCTGACCATAGTTCCGCTGTGAGAGAGGGCTCCTATCAGGCGTGCGGTGCCGCCCACAGAGCATCCTCCATTACTGTAAACTCCTTGGTGGAGACTGTCTGTGACTCGTTTACATCTCAACCGGCGTGGACTACAGTACAATCCACTTATCACATCGACATCTGATTTATCGACCTTTTGACATTATATCGACATGTTTTCCAATTACGAATTTTTTCCTTCAGTAAGATAGATAAAATAAGATAAGATAAGATACATCTTTATTGTCCAGATCCTGGCACATTGGTTTGGTGTTTCACTACGTGTACACACACACACACAC